AAATAAGAACATATGTGAAAATTTAAATAATTTGAGGACTGGGCGGAAACCTTCCATGAATCAAGGGAATGCAGAAGATTATTACGAGTAGTCGTAGAAAATTCTACAATAAGCCCGGTCAAAGTAGCAGCATCGTCGGAAAAGTTGATTGACAAGATTGTTAGTGATGCTACACTACATCACAGGTTGAAAAATATTAATATCAATACCTATGTGGTGCACAAAAGAGTCAATATTACTCTAACGATCTTATTAAATATTCTCTCATTTGCTTTGAAGTAATTTAAGTAACCTATACAGTTTTGAAACAATGTGTTATAAACAGATGAGTCTGAATTTCAATTCTAGTGTTGATTTGATAACCACTCCATGCATTTACGACAACCCTAAACGAATAAAGCAGTGCAGTCACTCAATAGATTTGAAGGTGGCACGATTTTGTTTTTGGAATGTTTATCATACTGTTACGAATTTCATCAGAGTAGCAATGAAATGTTTAAATATTATTAAATATTTAAACATTACGTCAATTGATATTTTGACAAAAAGTTTAGTTTGGAAATTTGTTTGGTGTGAAGCTGTATTTTTATTAAATTGACTCCTAATAAATACTAGTTCTTTGTATTACACAAAATATATAAGTAAGTTTCTCCAATCCTAATAATTCGTTTCATTTTTTTTTACAAAATCCTGAGATACGAACAATCACGCAGGCGATTACGTAACATTTGGTGTCAGAAGTGGGATTTTGTAAAAATGGTGAAATTGGAAGAATTAACTGTGGTTCAACTAAAAAAACAGTTGGAGAAAGTGGGACTTGGGACGGGTGGTGCGAAAACAGAACTGCAATTGAGACTTCGTGAGGCGTTGGAGGCTAATGGCATAAATGTAGAAGAACACGAGTTCCTCGATGAAAAACCTGACAAGAATAGTGAAATTATGGCAATCATGAACTTAATGATGCAGAAGCTGGAGAAAAATTCAGAAGAACAGGCGCACAGTTCACGTAAGTTGGAAGAAAAGCTGGAACAAAAGTCTAATGAAATCACGCAGAAATTAGAACAAAATTCTGCAGAATTAAAGATTGAGTTGCAACAAGTCCAGGAGAGATGCTCGAAGAGAATAGACCAGACTGATCAGAATGTTCAGATCTTAAAAGATGAGATGGCTCAGTTGAAAAGCCAAGTTGAAAATATGCAACTAAGTGGGTCGACTTCAGCCATTGTTCGTGAAATTGGTGGCTTTAAACTAAAACCACCGACGTTTGATGGAAGCGTAACCTTTGAAGTCTTCAAACTACAATTTGAAACAACAGCTGCAACAAATCATTGGAATGTTGGTGAGAAAACGGCAGCTCTAATTGTGGCATTAAAAGGTAATGCGGCAGATGTTTTACAGCAAATTCCACCCGAGGAACGTAAAAGCTATCAAATGGTAATGGACACATTGAAGCGTAACTATGGTAACGATTTTATGAGTCCATTGCACAGAGTAGAGCTGAAAGCTAGAGTCCAGCGTGTTGGGGAGAGTCTCCAAGAATACTCTGCTGACATTGAACGTTTGTGTAATTTGGCATACGTTGGTAACTCTAGTGATTTTATGGAGAAGAGTAAAATTGACAGTTTCATTGACGGAATACGTGATCCGGAAACCAAGCGACAGGTCGTAATGTTCCCGAAGAAGACTTACTCTGAAACAGTCAGCTACGCATTGACGTACGAAGCTGCCGGTATTATGTGTCGTCCTACAGCAAAAATACGGAAAATAGAAACTGATGCGGATGACCTGGTAGAAGTAATTCGTCAGATGAAAGTTGCCTTAGTTAGAAATGGCAACAAGTTTAATGGAAGATGTTTTGTCTGCGACAGACTTGGACACATGGCGCGAGACTGTCGTCAACATCGGAAACGGTCACGATCAAGCTCTCCATCGGAAAAGAAACATCACGATAGTAATTCTAACGGGGCTAATAAGCCTTCGTTAAACTAACGAGAGTCAGTTCGAAGGGGCATGAACTGACTTCAGTAAATGATTGCTCCATCATCCTCGTCTCACAGTTAAAGCGGGTACCTAACAGCCTAACCATCGATGGAAAAATTAACAATATGCCGTTTATTTTGACTTTGGACACTGGTGCTTCACATTCGATAATAAAAGGAAGCCTAGAAAAGAATTGTACATCATTAGCTGGTCTAAAACTTCGAACAGCAATGGGTGAAGAGGCGCCAATACTAGGAAAGGTCATGAAACGAATCACTTTAGGTGGCTATGAATTTCAACATGAATTCATGGTCGCCGATATCACCGATGACGTGATTATTGGTATAGATTTTATGATCACGCATGGAATTACACTGGACTTAAGTAGGAAAATGTTACGATACATGGATATCGAATGTCCACTAAATACTGGATATCAGCGCAGTAGCAGTGTAAGACAGATCCGGTTGTGTCAAAATCAGAAAATACCAGCGAATTCAGAGGCGATCGTATGGGCAAAAATAAATGGAGGGGAAAGGACAAGTAAGTTGTGGGTCGTTGAAGCCATAAGAAAAATCCGAATGAACGACATCTTACTGGGGAAAACATTAGTAGAGCCAAAAGTAGATGGTAGCATACCTGTTCGACTCTTGAATTTATCTGGTACATCAAAGTTTATAAAAAAAGGGGCAATAATTGGTGAATGTCAAGAGGTTTCAGCTGTGGTTAATTGTAGTGAAAATTCTGAAGTAATGAAAAAAGAAACTATTGCAGAAAAGGAGGATACAATGGTGCAAGTGCTAAGTTGGACTAAGGAACTCAATGCACGTCAGAAAAGAAAGGCGATGCAGGTCATACGGAATAATTGGTCAATTTTTGCGCTTAAGGGAAGAACTTCTATTGTAAAACACGAAATTGACACTGGTGATTCTAAACAAATTCGTCAGGCGCCTCGAAGAGTTCCACTGGCAAAAAGAGATGAGGTAACCAGTCTAGTTGCGGGTATGCAAAAAGAAGGTGTTATTGAGTCATCGGCAAGTCCATGGAGTTCGCCGGTAGTACTTGTAAAGAAGAAAGATGGAAGTACACGGTTCTGCGTAGATTATCGTAAGCTGAATGATGTTACAAAGAAAGACAGCTATCCACTACCAAGAATCGACGATACTCTCGACACTTTATCTGGCGCACAATGGTTCGCAACTCTTGATCTACGAAGCGGCTATTGGCAGGTAGAACTTAAAGAAGAAGACAAAGAGAAGACTGCATTTAGTGTCGGTGATGGTTTATGGCAATTCACGGTTATGCCGTTTGGACTCTGCAATGCTCCAGCCACTTTTAAACGTCTCATGGCGCGCGTCTTAAAAGGACTAACCTGGAAATCTTGTTTAGTCTACCTTGACGATATAATTGTAATGGGTAAAGACTTCGACGATCACTTAGAAAAGTTGAAAGAAGTATTCGAGCGAATACAAGCTGCTGGTTTGAAGCTGAATTCAAAGAAGTGATCATGCAAAGTGCTCACTTTGCATGATCTTAGAAGTTTTCTGGGGCTCTGTACCTATTACAGACGATTCGTTCCTGGCTTCGCGAATATTGCCAGTAGTCTATACGAATTAACTAAAAAGAACCAATCTTTCAAATGGGGTGATGAAGAAAATGAAGCTTTTGAACAGCTTAAAGAACGACTCTGTGCAGCATCAGTTTTGGCGTATCCAATACCTGGGAAAACGTTTATATTGGACACAGATGCGAGTGGCTCTGGAATAGGCGCAGTGTTGTCTCAAATAACGGATGGGCAAGAAAAAGTGATAGCGTACCACAGCAAAATCTTGTCCAAGCCAGAAAAGAACTACTGTGTCACACGAAAGGAGTTACTTGCGATAATGGTATGTGTGAAGCATTTCCACAAGTACTTATACGGCCAGAAATTCCTTCTCAGAACTGACCATGCAGCACTTAAATGGTTGCTGCGGTTTAAAGAACCGGAAGGTCAGCTGGCGCGGTGGATTGAACGTTTACAAAGTTACGACTTTACTATTGAACATCGTAAAGGAAGCCACGCTGGAAACGCTGATGCATTATCACGTCGCCCTTGTGGCCTCGAGTGCAAACATTGTTTACGGGTCGAAAATAAAGAACACATTGTGGATATACGTCTGATTAATGCTCTTCCAGAGGAGTCCTGGACCAATGAGCAGATACAAAAAGAACAACAGAATGATGCAGACCTCTCCAAAATAATGGAAAGTAAAGAGCGAGGCATTCGGCCGGAATGGCAGGAAATGGCAGATGAAAGTCCGATAGCTAAGGCATACTGGGCGCAATGGCAGAGCCTGCATCTGAAGGATGGTTGTTTATATCGGGTATGGGAAAGTGAGAATGGTAAAACCATTAATAACCTCCTGGTAATACCGAAGTCCCGCATTGACGAAGTTGTCTCAGAATACCATAATGCATCTAGTGGAGGTCATTTGGGCGTCACTAAAACTGTGGAAAAGATCAAGAGACGTTTTTATTGGGTCGGGTGCCAAGATGCGGTTGCGGACGTTATACGGAAATGCGTTCCATGCACTACATCAAAAGGTCCGAATACTAGAAGCCGTGGAAAAATGCAACAATATAACAACAATATAATATAGAGAATTGCAATGGATATCGCTGGACCTTTCCCTACTAGTAACGCACAGAACAAATACGTGCTGGTAGTAATGGATTACTTCAGTAAGTGGCCCGAAGTGTATCCAATTCCAAATCAAGAAGCCAGCACGATAGCAGAAGTTTTCTTAAACAATTGGGTTACGCGATTCGGTGTTCCAATGGAACTGCATTCAGATCAGGGGCGAAATTTCGAGTCAACAATCTTTAGAGAAATTTGCACATTACTGGGAATAAATAAAACTCGTACAACGCCTTTACATCCGCAGTCGGATGGAATGGTTTAACGATTTAATCGTACATTAAACGAGTACCTCAGGAAAGTGGTTGATAAAAATCAGAAAGACTGGGACGTTCATATTCCAATGTTCCTACTCGCCTATCGGTCTGCACGACATAATTCTACATCAACTACACCAGCAAGAGCAGTTTTTGGCGCCGACATCAGATTACCCCCGGACTTAAAATTTGGAATAACGCCACTTTGCGGCAAGATGACATGTGACTACACTGGAAGTAAGCGGGACCAATTAGATGAAATTCATCGATTCATCAGAAGGCGGCTCTTACTGACCAGTGACAAAATGAAAGCCAGGTATGATTTGAGAATGAACTCTGAAGGTTTCCAGGAAGGTGACCTAGTGTGGTTCCATAATCCACAACGGAAGAAAGGTTTGTCTCCAAAATTACAGACCTATTGGCAAGGACCATATAGGGTAATAACGAAGATCAATGATGTGGTTTATCGAATTCAAGAGTCGGGGCATCCTAGAGCTCGAATGAAAGTGGTGCATCTGGAACGGCTGGCACCTTACTGCAACGATGTGGTAGTTCCTGTTCGGGACGAACAGATTTAAGAGGAGGGCAATGTTACGAATTTCATCAGAGTAGCAATGAAATGTTTAAATATTATTAAATATTTAAACATTACGTCAATTGATATTTTGACAAAAAGTTTAGTTTGGAAATTTGTTTGGTGTGAAGCTGTATTTTTATTAAATTGACTCCTAATAAATACTAGTTCTTTGTATTACACAAAATATATAAGTAAGTTTCTCCAATCCTAATAATTCGTTTCATTTTTTTTTACAAAATCCTGAGATACGAACAATCACGCAGGCGATTACGTAACAATACAATGCATTTGGGGATTTGGTACCGAAAAATGGAACCTTAAATCAGTCGGGTTATATTGGTATTTTAAATAACCATGTCTGAACGTCAGAAAATAGACCTTTTCCAATCAATAACTGGGTTCTACAACATGACAATGCACCATGTCATCAAGGATGTGGACTTAATCCAATTTTAAAAGAGTTAAATCCTACTGTTTTTTTATAGCCTGCACAGAGCTCTGGTCTTAATGTCATTGAATATGGTTGAGACTTCATAAAACAGCAAAATACTATTGATAAAATCCAAAATGTAGTGATAGCATAATTGAAATAGCGAATATTCGGTCCAAATTGATTCGCAGCTGGATTCGATCGATTCCAGCTAGATTACGGGTCGTTATTGATGCCAAAGGTGGCGTAACCAAATATTAATTATATTAATTAAATAAAAATATAAAGATTTTTAAAAAATTCATCAATTAAGAAGAGAAAATATGTGTGTAAATACTTTTGACTACTAATAAGCATCAGCGCAGTTGCTTATATTTTTGTCAAATGAACAGTTATCTTTCCAATTCTTTTTTTATTTGGTTCTGCATAGATAAAACTAAGTGACAAAAAAAAAAGTTTTTGCAACTGACGTCCAACAACAACAATAAAAACATGTTTTTATGCAATATGTACAAACATGTTCGTTGTGTAAATACTTTTGACTATGGCTGTAAATATATTTGGTACTTAATTTTTATATAATATTCTTTTTCCAATATTCACCTAATTAATTTGTGTTAACGAGACGATCAACAGATTCATCTCTGTAAATTTATTATCCCTTAGGGAAGAAGTTTCGAGTAACGTAGTGGAATATGAACCACAAGCGATTGACGAGGCAATGACTTGTGACGAAGGATCAATTAATACTATGCTCCCCCCATTGTTGGGAATTGTAGCCTCTCCAATAAGAGTTATCGTTTTCAATTTATGTGTTTTCTATATTATGTTTTTAGTTTATAATTAAATTGCCAACTAAACATCGTGGTTTAAGTTCTCAATGTATAACAATTAATATGAATGAATTAAATTCTTTAATTATGTATGTTTTTATCTTTGACTTTTCATATATATAACAATAGTCATTGGCATATCGTTGTGATATTATTTCTTATAAAATTTTTTGTCGTTTGTTTATATATATATATATATATATATAGATATATATATATATTTTATTATATGTTTTCTTATGTGAATATTTAATTCTATATTTTCAAAATCATAGGATTATTAATTTGTTCATATTCATTGTATTGTTATTTAGTTGTTTTTATTCTTATACATATTTTGTATTTTTGTGTTTTTTTTCTGATAAATATTTTATTACAATTATATGTACGAATAAGCTTCCCATCAAAAACCATAAAAACCGGAAGCGATTGCTTGGTATAAGAAATTCGAAAGAAATGTATGTGAAGACGGTGTAATAATTTTTTTATTCTTTAATTGTCAAATTCTACATTTTTTAGATTATTTTTTCTTGGTTTAAATGCCAAAAAGAAATATAAAATTTATCTTATATATATAATTCTTCTGTACGTGTGTTGACAGTGAACTTCTCCTAAACGGCTGAACCGATTTTGATGAAATTTTTTGTGTGTGTTCAAGTGGCTTCAAGGAAGGTTTAGATTCACAATTTTGCCCACTGGATAATGTCTTTTTAATTAATTATTTATTTTTTGGTATCCATGTACATTTATATTAGAAATTTAAAATTTGTTCATGCTTACTTTGATTTGTTTAAAAAGTTCAAAATCTCTAAAATGAATCGTACAACTGCCGTTGCATAGCTTAAGTGCATTTAAATTCCGCAGTATAATTATAGGTGAGCCAATTTTTAATCTTAAGTTATGTGTTGGTATTCCTGGTATTCCAGCGAATTCAAAAATTCAACAGGATAGCTGAACGATTCATTTTAGAGTTTACATTTTTAAACAAATCAAAGTAAGCATGAATAACTTTTAAATGTCTAATATAAATGTATATGGATACCAAAAAACTGTATAATAATTAAAAAAACGTTATCCAGTGGACCAAATTGTGAATCTAAACCATCCTTGAATTGACTTGAACACACACAAAAAAGAAGAATTATATATATAAAGATATAAATAACGTACAAAAAGCAATGCCACGTCTTCGTGGACGAGGAAGAAATATTGGTCGACGGATTCGGAATTCACAATTACTCCAGAACCGTCGGTTAAATAGATCGGTAGAAAACAATGAAAATGTAAGAAACCAGGATACAATCACACGTGCTAATGAAAGTCAAGAGCAACGCAACGAACGCCTTCGAGCTAATGTATTGAGACAAAGACTGGCCCGTCAACGAGTCACCGACACATTCAGAACACGTGAACAACGGCGTTTGCAAGTGTATCGGGCATTGACACGTGCATCATTTCATCGCCTTGCGTTTAAATATGAATCGGATATCGACTATTCGTCACATTCACGAATTGTAATCGGTGCTATGAACAAACAGTGCCAACACTGTCATGCACTCAAATACAAAGGTGAATCGGCCGATTTCTGCGGCGCATCTGGAAAAGTTGTATTGCCACCATTGAATTCGCCGCCAGAACCATTGAAAGCACTATTGGCTGGAGCTACATCTCAATCTAAATTGTTTTTTCGTAAAATTCGCAAATTCAATTCGTGCTTTCAAATGACATCATTTGGAACAACAAAAATCGTTCAGAATGAGAATGGTCGCAATTTTCAATCAACGTTTAAGATTCAGGGCCAAGTGTATCACCAAATTGGTTCTTTAATGCCGATGCCCAATAACGATCCCAAATTTCTGCAAATCTACTTCATGGGTGATGAGAAGCAGCAAATAAACGCACGTTGCCAGTACAACCATATCGAGCAGATGGAGGAGCAAGAAATTGTGGGTATTTTAGAACCGTTTTTAAAAAATCACAACCAGTTGGTCCAGTTGTTCAATACCGTTTCAAACCGACTGCTAAACGACAACTATACAATCGTCATCAAAGTACCATCTGGGCAGCATGCGGGCCGATATAATGCACCGATTATTAATGAAGTTGCAGTTGTTATGGTTGGCGACGCATTTGAACGTCGAGATATATGAATACAACGCAGAGATAACACAGTGCATACGGTTGCTGACAGTTATCGCTCTTACGACGCTTTGCAATATCCATTGATATTTTTTTTTATTTAAAATGTAGTGCTTATAAGGATTTGAAAATATTTGTAACATAAGTAATGCATGTGGACTTTTTGTAGTTCAAAAGAAAAAATCAATTCAAAATAATTTTCGTATTAAAATGCTAAAGGTTAAGTTGAATAACAACAAATATTATAACTCAGTTGAGCCAGGAAAATTAATTGCAAGGGGAAACAACGTTCGTCGGGTCAGCT